CCAGTCCGTTTTCTTTCGCAGTCTACACTGTCACCAGACTCCTGGAAATCCAACCTTCAACGCCCAACATTTCCCTTCCCCTACCCTTTCTTCACTTGGCTGGTTGGTATTCCAGCCTCCCGTGGCTGGACCTGCCCGCCTCGGAGCCTGGGGGCCAGGCCCCAGTGTCACTTCCAGTCTCAACCAGCCACTCAGCTGGTCATGCACTTCCACCCATCCTGGCCTTTGCTCCATGGTCAGGCTTTGGCCTGGCTCACCCCTCCCCTTTCTGTCACTACGCGGAACTCTACTCATTCCTCATGCTTCAGCTAAGATGTCCTTCTGAAAAGAAGTTCACAGTTTGAGATAAAACAAATCCTGGTGAGCAGAACTGGGATCCTGATGTAGGGGAGTTGGGGACCCTCAGTCACTCTGGACCTCATTTACCCACCTGCCTAAGCAGAGGCCCTACCCATTGGGGTGAGATGACTGACATGTGGGTCTCAGTAAACCAGAGCTGGCACTAAGTTGGTCTGCTGAAAGGCAGTGTGGCCTGGGACGTGGGTTGATCTGGGTCATACCCTCCAGCAGGTGGGTGGGGAAAACAGGCCGCTTTCCTGCTGGCCCCCACAGCCGGATCTCCTGGCCTGGCCTACAGCCCCCGCCTTCCTCCTTGTCTGGAAACAGGTGCTTGGATGGAGATGGGGCTGCAGGATCGCTCCTGATCTGCAGCAGGCTCCAAGGACAGTAGTAGACAGTTTGTCAGACAGCAAGAAGGGGGCTCCCAGGCCTGGACTGCCTCCCAACTTTCCCCAGGACGGGAGGAGAGGACTTGGTACTTTGCAGCCATCCACCATTGTGAAGGGAAAGAGCACCGGGGTGGCTCAGTAGCAAAGTACTTGCCTTGCAGGTGTGAGGCCCTTGGTCCATTCCTGGCAGCTGCAAAAAACGGGGAGGGGAAGACGAAGAGGCAGAAGGGGATAGTTCAAAGGGCGGGCAGAAGCACGTGCCAGATGTACACAGTGCACCAGGTTTGATCTCTGGCATCACATGCCCCACTGTACCCCCTGCAGTACCATTGGGAACAAGAAGCACTGCCAAGCGTGACCCCCAAAACAAACACATGGGCCAGAGCATCGAATAGGCAGCAAGTAGCTAGGATAGGAGTACCGAGTCTTTCTTGAAGAGCGGGAGAGGGTGGGTCAAGGGCAAGGCCAGGATGCCTAGATGGGGGGACCCCAAAAGAAAAAATGGGAAGCAAGCTAAAACAAGGACTGATGTGTAGGGAGAGACAAACTGAAAAAGACAGACTTAGAGGCCACAGCAATAGAGATCTAGGGTGCTTGCCTTGCAAGCAGCTGACCCTTGTTCGATCCCCAGCACTGAATATGGTCCCCCAAGTCCTGCCAGGAATGATTCCTGAGCACAGATCCAGAACTAAGCCCTGAGCATCACTAGGTGTATATCTCCCTGCTCCCCCCCCACCACCACCAAATAAAAATTTTTAGAAAGCAGACTCAGAGAGTCAGGGAGCCAAAGGTCCAGGACAGACTCAGAGCCAGAAATAAACCTCACATGGACTGGAATGATAGTACGGCGGAGAGGGTGTTTGCCTTGCACACAGTCAAACCCAGGTTCAATCCTGGTATCGCATATGGTCCCCCAACCAATGCCAGGAGTAATTCCTGAGTGCAGAGCCAGAAGCCAGCCCTGAGCATCGCCGGATGTGACCCAGAAAGAAAAACAAAGAAAGAAACCTCACAGGGTTAGACATGGGAACCGGGGAGAGACCAAAGGGCACATAGAGGTTCAGAGCTGTGCAGACAGGTCCAGGAGCAGCGGCTGTCAGACCAGGGACACCAGAGCTGCAGAGCGGCCGTGCCAGGAGCAGTGCTGAGACATCTGGCCGCCTGGGCTAAGGCCGCAGGCCCCGGGGCAGCTTCCTCTCCCAGAGAAGCAGCGGGCGGGTGGGAAGAGTCAGGGAGGCGGCAGTGGCAGCTGGCTGGCCTGGCCATGCGCAGAATGTGGAGAATGCCGGCTGCCTGCCCCGGCATGTCCCCCAGCGGAAGCAAATGCTTGGTGGGGGGCAGGACAGGCAGGCTGCCCTGGGCCACCCCCTCACACCTGCTGCCCTCTGAGCAGGGGTCAGACCCTGGCATGGGCTTGCAGAAAGGGCTGCGACCATAGCACTTCACTGCACCCCTGGGTCCCGATGACCTACTGTGGGCCTCAGTGGAATAAGACCCCAAGGTGCCCACCTCCCCGGGACTTGGGGAGGCCACTGGGAGAACAAAAAAGCCTGCAGGCTGCTACGTGGAGGGCAGCAGGGAGAGCCCAGCCCGGGCGCTGTCAGGAGGCGCTGCTCAGAACCGCCGGGACAAGCACCGGACAAGTTCTGACGACCTGGCAGCCTCCAGCCTGGGGCATCCCTTTCCTGAATCTCAGCAAAACACACACTCAGACACAGACACAGAAACACACACACACACACACACACACGTTTGGCAATCCCTATTCTTCCCAGCATCGGTGCCTTGGAAGGTTGGAAGGTTTGGGGCCCAACACATGGGAAAGGCTTAGTGAAGGGGACTACCATGATGATGATCGTCATGGTTACTGGGTGGCCTGAAGAGACTGGGTTCGAATCCCAGCTGCCCTGCTTCCTGGCTGGATTTCCTCTGGGCCTATGCAGAGAACACGGGCAGCGCACCGGTCAGGGTGTGCAGCTATGCGGGAAGGGGCTTGGTAGTTGGTCTCCTGCCCCATCAGGGTGTGAGGGTTGTGGCTCCCTGGCTGGGGGCACCCTCACTCAAGCCTCATTCTTTTTTGCCTGGAAAATGGCCACCAACCCCGCAGCAGAGACGGTTGCAGGAGACCCAGCTTGGGGGCAGTGGGGGGGGGGGGGGGGGGTTGGGAGAGGGACAAAGGTACTGGAGGTGCTGCACGGGGGCTGGAGGCCTTAGGAGACAGTAACAAGCTCCTCTGTTTCTGTTTCTTCATCTACCTAAGTACAAAAATTCCTGCAGTGCGATTACTGTGGCATTTGCTCATATCAACAAGAAAAAAAAAAGGACCAATTGTTGGGGGTGGGGACTGGGCCAAGGAGGTGGCATAAGGAACAGCAGTTTTGCATTGCAGAGGCTATAGGTTCCATCCTCAGCACCGCACGCTCCCGGAGCAAGCCTCAAGTTGGGGTCACCCACGAGCAACGCAGGGCATGCTCTTGGCCCCAACAACGACAAAATGTTGAGGGTAGGGAAAGGAAAGCAGGGCTCAGGATTTGCACACAAGGGGCAAGCCTGCCTGGGATGCTGGTGGGCTCCTTCTGAGTTGGGACCCCAGGTAGACCCAGCTTCCTCCCTTCCCAGGCTCCTGCCTCTAATCTAGGGAAGGGTCCTCGCTCCAGCCCTGCTGTGTGGTCTTCCTAGGCTCCCTTCCTGCCCTCAGGTCAAAGTTCATGTGTCTCCTAAGGGCATCTCTAATCTGACACTCACTCATCTGCCCGGGGAGAGAGCCAGGCAGAAAGCCACATAGACCCACGCCTGCCCACTTCCTAGTGCCCTTGGCTTCGAGGACAACTTCCTTCACGCACTGGTTTGCTTTCAAGGCCTGGAAACAAACACTTCCCTCTGCCTCCAGGCCCTACCAGCTGCCTTGCCAGGCTCTCTCCTGCCCGGCTCCCTCTCAAGGCCCCTGGCCTCTTCCACCCTCCCTGACTCTCTATGACCACCTTCTCCCGCCCCAGCGGTGACAGCTCTGGACAATCACTGCCTGGGGACAGCTCCGGCCAGTCCAGGAAGTGAGTGCTGTGACTGGCAGGAGCGCTACCTTCTTGGCACCCACCAGCACAGGGCCAGGCTCTGACAGGGCTGAGGTCAGGAGTAGAAAAGAAAGAAAAAGCTGCCGGGAAAGGGCTGGTGGCAGGCCTGTCACCATTCCTGATAAGCCCCAGCCTGGCCTGGCCCCAGGCTGCCCCCAGCATGTACTCAGAAACAGTCACTGACCCCGTTCCTGCCTTGCCCCCAGCCATCATCCTGCCTCCTCTGCTCCTGGCCTCCTATGGACCTGTAGGAGGCGGGCCATCTGTACTGGGCCTCTACACCCTGTCCAGGGTGTTGACACCAGCCCCCTCAACTCCACCCTGCACCTGGAGGCACCTACACCCGGCTTGGCCCGGCTCCCCTCCCAGTGGCACTATGAGAATACAGAACTTGCTTCTGTGACTGTGCCATCTCCAAATGGAAGGCCCTGATAGCCATGCCGGCATGGGGACGAGCAGCTGCGAGCCAGCCTATCTGGGTTTGAATGTGGGCTCCAGACCTGACTGACTGGCCACACGTCCCTGGGCAAGTGAGCAGCCTGGGCTCATTGCACCCACCTCTTAGGGTGGGTGGTGAAGACAAAATGAGCTAATGTTTGAAGAAGGACTCAGAGCGGGGCTGAGTATGTTGGGGGTGCTACATCATGGGCTGGGTATGCGGGTTCGGCGAGATAAGCCTCTTGCAGTGCTTATCAGAGAGAGATTGCCCCCCCCCCCCCAGCCAGTCCTCCAGACACAGGAGCCGGCATTGTGATAATCATCTTTCTGCCCCATCAGCGCCGCAGGGGCCTGGCTCCAAGCATGCACGCAGGAAAGCTTTGCCGGTGGTGGGCCCTGAGAGCGCCCTTCATAGGAGGCCTGGGGAATAAGGCCTTGAGTCTTACATGTCCCAGGGCAGCAGCCAGCCTTCGCCGAAACCCTGACAAAGGGGGGGGGGGAGCGCTCATCTTTCCTGAAAGCCCGATGGTTCAAAGGGAGCCCCTATGTCATCCGAGAAGATGGCTCAAAGGATCAATGGCACAACATCTGTATGCAGGAGCCCCTGATTCCATCCCTGGGGCCACACAGTCCCCTGAGCACCACAGGGAGCGACCCCCAGCGCTTTACCAGGAGTAGCCCTCGAGCATGGCCAGGAATGGCCCCCAAATTAAACAAACAAAAGACCAAGTGAGCCACTCCACACACCCACCACACCTCTTACCTGTCCCAGGTCGGCCCATGATCACCTCCTTCTTGGGTGCAGGATGGCTGGTATAGCTGCTAGGCACCAAGACGGGCAACAGGGCAGCAGGGGAGGGGTGGAAGGCCACCGGCTGAAAGGGCGAGGATGCCAGGCCAAAGGTGGGCATCGGCTGGGCCACAGCGGTTGGCGCGGCGGGAGGCACGGTGATGGGCACCGGGGCTGGCAGAGGAGGGGGCAGTCCAGGCTTCCCACTGGCCACTCCGGGGGGCGCTGGGGTCTCTCGGCAGCCCCGTCCAGTGCCTCCAGCCCGCGACTCACTGGCAGCTCCCACCTCTCCTGGGAACTTGGAGGGCAGTGGCACGTCGGGGTTGCGGACGATGACAGGCGAGTCCCGCTGCACAGCGGGCACCCTCCGCACAGAGGGGCCCGGGTCAGAGGTCAGGCCGGCAGGGGGTGGCAACAGCAGCAACGGTGAGGGCTGTCGGGATCGGGAGAAGGGCACTGCGGGCGACACAGACCGGAAGCCAGCCGGAGTGGAGGGCGTCGGCGTGTGAGACACAGCTTCCGCGCCCGAGTCTAGGCTGTCACTCTTCGGGAAGTCAGGGGCAGCCCCTCCAGCTCCAGGGCCTGGAGCCCCCAAAGCTCCTGGGTGCGGCAGCAGCTCCGTCTTCCGCCGCCCGGGGCTGATGGGCACGGTGAACGTCAGGTTGGTCTGGAAGGTGGGCAGGATGCCGGAGGAATGGCGCTCTCGTGGGGCGGGCGGTGGTGGGTGGGGGCCCAGGTCAGGCGGTGTCAGCACGCCGGCCTTTGGGGTGCTGGCACTCAGGTGGCGGCTGCGTACGGCCGTGCGCTGGATCACAGGTGAAGCGTTGATGGGGCTGAAATTGGCAGGGCGAAAGCCGAAGAGTGGTGAGGGCGAGGGGGACGGGGCTGGCGAGAAGGGGGACTGCGTGGACACGGGGGAGAAGGACGGGGTGCCTGAGCGCGAGCTGCCCAGCGACACGAGCATCACTGCCGCCTCGCACTCATCAAACTCAAAGCGGGACAGGTCGGCGGGGGCCACGAGGCGCGGTCGCGAATCCCCCCGGGTGGCCACGCTGCTGGCCTCGCTGTCCCGCGATGTCTCGTCCCCCCAGTCAAACTCCGCGCTGCCTTCCCGGGCCGCCACACCAGCAGGCCGCCCAGCACCTCCAGGACCACTGTCCGCCAGGCCCTCCATCTCCTTCGTCCGCATGGACAGGTGCCGGGAGCAGTAGCCGCGCCTCTGCGACTCCTTCATGCAGCCATCCCGGGAGCACAGCCGGCGCCACTGTTTGCCGTTGAACTTCTTGCGGATGCCGTTGGGTGTGCAGACGACATCACCCTTCTTGTACTTCTGTTGTGCGGCTGTCAGCGGGGTGCGGGCCCGGGCAGCCGGTGCCGCGCCCTTCTCCAGGGAGGCCACACTGCTGCTCCGGCTGCCACCCTGGCTGCCCTCCTGGCAGGGCGATGGCTGCTCACCAGGGCGCCCGGGGCCTGCGAAGGCTGGCGACTTGGGGGGCGGTGACAGGAGCTGGGGCGGGGGCAGAGGCAGCAGGGCCGGGGTGCCCAGCGCTGGCGGATGCTTCTCCTCGCCCTCCTCGCAGGTTCCTAGGTTGCCTCCAAAACTGATCTTGGAGACCTCAGCATCCTCGGGCTGCTTGGGGTCCAGGGCTGCAGGGCAGGAAGGCAGGGGAGCTCCGGGCTCAGCTTGCTCCTCCTCTGGGCCTGTGGGGGGCTTTCTTGGCAGGGTCTCTGGCTCCCAGGGGGGCCGCAGCAGGCGCAGGCTAGAGCGGGCCACCCACACGGTCTCCTCGGCCTCGCGGTGAGAGGGCTGGGGGACCTGGGGCGGGCCAACAGGGGTGCCTGCTTGGGAGCTGGGCCCCGGGCTGAGGCGGACCTTGTAGGCAGCCGGCTTGGTGGCCACCTCTACCACCACGCCGGCACGGTAGGCCGCCACGCCGGGCTCCACGCAGGTACAGACGGCCGTGCCCACTGCCAGGGCGCCTGGGGGCGGCGTGGCATCTAAAACCACATCAACGCCACCGCCACCTCTAGGCGCCCCCTCGTAGAAAGTTAGGGCTCGGTCGCCAGGGAACTGTACCCCCAGGTCCTGGCTGCGGCGCACCTGGCGCACCACAGCGGGCAGGAAGAGGCCATCACCACGGCGGGCCAGCACACGCTGGGACCGCAGCTGCCGCAGGTCACAGCCACCCCCAGAGCCACCCTGGGGCCAGGGGCCTGGCCCCCCAGCTTCAGCCGGCTCGTCCTCCAGGTCTGCCGAGTGCTCACTGGCTGTGTCGGTGGACGAGGAGCGGGTGGAGGTGGGGGGCCGGGGAGGCACCCCCAGGGCACCGGCCTCCTCAGGAGTCCGTGTCTGCTCTTCAGGGCCCCCCGCTGTCCCGCCGCCAGTCCCGTGCTCCTCGACATACTTCTTCTTGGGCGCGCGTGATTTGAACGTGGCCGTCTTTCGGCTGAGTGACGGCTCCCAGCGGCCGGTCTCTCCCTCTACTTTAGGGTCCTCTGCTGGGCCTGAGGTCTGGTCATCGGGATGCAACTCGGAGGGCAGCCCCTCTGCCCTGGGGCCCCGCTCAGCCTCCTCCTCACCTTCTTCAGCCTCTTCTGGCCCTGGAGGCGGCGGCGGCGGCGGCTGCTGCTGCGTCTCATCCTCTTCTTCCTCTGGCTTGTCACTCTCTTCGGCCCCCCGCCTCCTCAGGGCCTTGGCTCGGGTGGCTGGGGGGGACCTGCCACCGCTGCCAGGACCTGCAAGTCCTGTGCACGTCTTCTTCATTGGCTTCATCTCTTTTCCACCTGGGGGTGGAAATGGACAGGGATCATTGGGGGTCCTTTATTGGGGATCAGTGAACAGAACCCAGTGCCTCCCTCACTTGCTGCTGGCTGAGACCACCACTTCAGCTCCATGATCCCTCAGGCCTCCTTTCTGACTGTCCTAATTTATGAGGACCCCAGGCCAGCACCCAAGCACAATCAAAAACCAGATCCTCAGAAGCGCCCACTTCCTAGGGACACCCCTTGGCTTCCTGGGGATACTCACATCCATCAAGAGAGGACAGAGCACTCACATGCGCCCTGACACACCCCAAGGGGACAGGGTACAGGAGCAGTTCACACCTATGGAACACCCCCTCATGCCAAGCCCTGGGCTCAGCCCCCCAGGGAATCCTAGTCATCCCCCCGCAGTCCACAGGCAGGTGCTACTATCAGCTTGGGTGGCACTTGAGAAAACTCAGACGCCCAGAGCACAAACAGCTCTGCCACGTTCAGAGCTGGGGATGGCACAGCAAGGGTCAGACCCAGGTGATCTGGCTCCCCAGCTGGGCTCCCACCCATGGCACTGTGCCGCCAGTCACATGATCCAAAAGGCATGGTTCCTTGCACTGCCACCATCCAGAGAGCACACGCAATCTCTCTCTCTCTTGCTCTCACGCACATACACACATGCATGCAAGCAAGGGAGCTGATGGGGCGGTGGCAGGAGTCTGTTCAGCGCCCCCAACCACCTCCCCGGCTGGGGCAGCCTGGCATGGCCAGCACTGTGCAAGTACAGAGAGACAGCTGCCCACTGCACGCTGCACCCTGGGCCTGCCAGGTAGAGCCATCTCACCAGATCCCGGCAGGAAGCAGGCAGGGGCACGTCTGGGGCAAGAGCTCAAACCCTGCCTTGCCTCAGGGCCCTGCATGAGCACACACACACACACACACACACACACACACTCACACTCAAACACACACACACATCATCCTATGGTGGGACTGCACATCATCCTATGGTGGGACTGCACAACTATACCCTAGGGTTTTGCTATCCTCTGGATGGGAGCCTGCCCCTCCCCCCAGAGCACCCAGCGTGATACCCGCAAGCCCAGCCCCGCTTCTGGCTTGCCAGCATCCCCGCCCTGGCTGGGCTGGCTCTGGCAGGATGGCTGAGCTGCCGGGTGGGGGGGTGAGGGGAACTTCTTGGGCCCCAAATATGCCCTCCAACTCCAGGTGGGGGTAAGTGGGAGAAGGTCAAAGAAAGCAGGACGAGCCCAGCAGGCCAACCTCACCCACTTCCTGAACAGTCATTACTGCCCGCCCTCTTTCAAGCTGCCCCGAGAAAAGAAAAGGGAAAAACTTTACTCTGAAGTGACGACCTGAGCTGAGAGGCCAAAACGGGACCTCTGAGAGGGTTGGGGGTGCCCAGGTCCCTAAGGCAAACTGTCAGAGGCACCACCTAGGATCCTGAGCCCAAAGCTCTCCCACGGGAAACAACTCTCCAGGGCAACCCTAGGGTCGCAGGCCTGCCCTGCTCTGGCCAATCCTGGGATGTTCATAGGCAGTGCCTGCTCATGCCGGGCCGGGCCACCAAGTGCCCAGCAGCTGAGCAGCGGCCACCACCTCCCTACTGACCCGCTGGGCCCCAGTCCTGAGGGCTGAGAACTGGCCTACTCCTGTCCAAACAAACCTTGGCACACCCCAACCCGGGTCCCCTGCACCCTGAAGCCGGACCCAGCCTCTTCACCCCAGAAGCCAGGCCTGTTTTTCTCTTCCCCCCACCCCCCACCAGCCTCCCCGGGGCCTACTCCCTTCCTGTCCACCCGGCTCGCAATAATTCCCACCAGGCTCCGTGGGCCCTCACCTCCCTCCAAACCTGCCAGCAACTCCCGATGCCAAAGCTCCAGCTCTCCGGTGCTCTACCCCCACCAGCACAACTGGGACCAGCCGCTTTGCCACTCTCGTCCATCCTGTCACCACCTCTAGCTCTGCCTCTCCTAGGTCCCCTCTTCACTCACCCCTCCTTGTCACCCTCATCTGTCACCTCTTCCTGCCAGTTACTCCCCTGTCAGTCATCTCCGGACCTGTCACCTTCGCTTTCCATCACCTCTCTAAGTCCCCCTCCTCCAACTCTGTCCCCTCCTTCTCCCTGTCACCCTGATCTAATCCTGTCACCCCTCCATTCCTGTTACCCATTCCCTGGCCACCACCCCTCCCCGTTACCCCTTTTCCTGCTGCCCTTTCCTCTTCACCACTTCCTCCACTCTGTCTCCCCTTTCCACCATCCCACCCATACCTTTACCCCTGTACCCCCAAGCGTTCCTGCCACCTGTCCCTTCTCGACCCCCGAGCACCCCAAATACCCCCAGCCCGTGTCAGCCCTGGCCCCGCCCCTCACCTCGGGCTCGGCGGGGTTTCGGGGCGGGGGGCTGTGGCCCCGGCTTGGTCCGGTCCGGTCCCTCCCCGCCCCCCCTCCGGCTCTCCCTCTCGATTCTCCCTTTTTTTTTACTCCAACACACAAAATGGTGAATGGACCTGCAACAGCTGGAGCAGTCAGCCAATCAACGGCCACAACCCCGCTGACCGGCGCCGTCCTAGACCAATAGATATTCGAAGCCTGGTGAGCTCCGCCCCTTAAAGACGAGCGACATTCTACAAGACCAATCGGGCACACGCGGCAGCGCAAGTGGGAGGGGCCAAAGTCCAAGACCGGCCTCCCTCTGGGACCGACACTAACCTGAGCCTACGACCGCCTGATCTACCTAGAGCCCTGCCTTACAACAAGTGATGGACAACATAGTCTACCAATTGCAGATTGCCTTAGTGCCAAATGACTAATACAGTATCCAGTCGCATTGTACCCCATGCCGGAACCCAGCCTCTGTGGGGGACAGTAACCAACGAAATGCAAGAAGGAGGGACTAAGCTGCAGGCTCTCCAATGAGCAGGCTTAGAAGGCGTGGCTTGTGCATTTGTTGACCGGCTAGTCGCAATGCCTGCTGGGAATGGTAGTCTTCTTGCGCCACCCGCCCATAGTTAACAGCACAAGACAGACTACAACTCCCATGTAACAGGGTGCCTGGAGCACCAAAGAATCCGGGAGAGGAGAAAAAGTCGGAAAGGGCAGTTCCTTGTGAGTCTCACTGGACACGAGGAGCATCTGAGACCCGGGGCCCCGACTCACCCCGATTCCCAGCTCTGGCGTCCCCGGTAGCTCCTCTCAGTGGCGGCGGTAGCTGCACGAGGGGGAGGTGCGAGGAGCAGCCAACCGCCACCCGCGAGCCTGGCAGCCAATCAGCAATGGCCAGGGCGGCGCAATGACCTCACCGAGTTCTACTCTCTTACCCCTCCCCCACGTGGTTGTTGCTGCCGGTAGCCGGGAGTAGGGAAGTTTGGGGTGGGGGGAGGGGAGGAGAACGAGTGATGTCACCTTCCCCCAGCTTGATTGGCTGTCGGGTGGCCCGGACTAGGACCAATCAACAGTGTCTGAAAGTCTGGCGCGGCCCCGCGGAAAGCCCTGTTGCCACCGGGAGGACAGAGAACGCGCGCTTGTGGGGTGGCGCGCGCTGCAATGTAGTTCACGCGCGCGACCTGGGGCCTTGGGAACCCAGGAGATAAGTCACCTCCTTTTTGACCCTTAGGATGGAGCACTTTTCCGACAGCGCCCCCCCTGCCCTGGCATGGGATGGGGTGCACGAGATGGAGACGCGCAACCGCTTCTTGGGCTCACAGCTGCTTTGCGCTCAGAGCTGCACTCGGTGGGACCCTGATTTTCTTTCAAGTTCAGCGAATGCAGAGTAGGGGTATATGCCCTGCCAGTAGTAAATGTCTGCTGACCAAACGCGGGATTTACGTCAGCTCTGCACCTCTCCGGTGCATTCACACTCTTCGCGTTGCATTTGCCCTGGATAGAGGATAGCGGGGAGTAATATACGGGATGGAGGGGAGACTGTTGCAGCGTTTGATGAGTTTCCAGTATCCACAAGGGATCACACAAGTGAGGAAGAAAATGGTCCCGGCCCACGGGTGGATATTGGACAGGTGACATTTGTATTACTCATGAGAGTCTGTGGCAATGGCATATGGGTGGTTCACCAAGGGCTCTGAGCAAAGTATTAGTTTCTCAGTGGGGTTCACTGAGTATGAGGGAGATTCACAGGGCTCTTGGGAAAGTCCCACAGAAGACTGGCCTTGAGATTGGGGGAAAAGGTCACTCTCTGCAAGGAATTTGCACTGGGAAAGCATATACCATTGCTTACACTTGCAGAGAGCAGATTGCGGCTGTCTTCATGCCTCCTGAGAGTTCACATGTCCCTGCTGAGTGGGTCCTGAGTGGAGGGCAAGTTACAGAGCAGCCTATGCTGCAGTACTGTGTAGACTGCTACATCTCAGTGGGGTTTACACTTCTCTAAGTCCTGCTGCCCAACTGAGACTTGGACAGGGGAATCATCCTGTGGCAAGAGGGATTCACAACAGCTACAGACAGTGCCCCTGCATGGAGATGCACCCCTGTCTTTGTCAACTTGCTCACAGATCAAGGAAGGGATTGAACTATCCTTGGGGAGGCTCCTCCTGGGCAGAAGTTCACATGGCCCTTGAAAGCCTGCACTGTGGCCCGTGGGAGATTTCCACTGATTACAGTTGCTGGGAGATTTCCACTGATTAAAACTGCGTTGTTTCTGGGCCAGAGAGATAGTACACTGGGTAGGGTCCTTGCATGTGGACGACCTGGGTTCAATCCCTGGCATCCCATATGGTCCCCCGAGCACTGCCAGGAGTAATTTCTGAGTGCAGAGACAGGAGTAAATCCTGAGCATCACTGTGTGTGACCCAAAAAGCCAATAACAAAATACTGCAGCATTTTTTGCTGCATGGTTAGTTCTCTGGCATAAGGGAGAATTAGACTGTCCGTTGGGGAGAAGGTCTTTATGTGGCCTAGAAGGGGGGAGTCCCAGCTGTTTCTATAGGATCCCCTGACTGCAATCTATTTATGAGACCTGCAGCGGGAGTACACTGTTTCTTCTGGACACCCCAGGAAGGAGGGGACCCTGTAGGATCTGGGGTCCACATAGCCCAGCGACTGTATCTCTTGTCACAAAGGAATGGTGCACACAGGGAGTTGTACCTTGCCCCTGAGAGAATTACATAAAATGGAGTGAACTGAGTTACACAATTCATTGAAATGACACTGTCTATGGGTTTGGGGGTGATGTTGCAGGGAGCAGGAGTACACATGGGCTGCTCCCAGTCAAACCCTGCAGCACTACCACCCAGCTCTGTGTGACCTTGGTCAAGTCACTTACTCTCTCTGTGCCTCAATGTCTGCCCCTTGGAAGATCATTTTCCAGAATCCCTCTGGCACTGGGCTGTCTTTAAAAAAAAAACCTAATGAGCTAATATACAAAGTGTTTACCAAAGTGACTCGAGGACAATGAATTCTCAACTCTGAGCTGTTGCTGGCATGATGCTATTAGGGAGTGGATCAGGGAGTTAGTTGATCAAGAGTGTTTGCTCTCACTGTCTTACTAGACACCCTGTTATCCTTTGTATGTGTCAGACCGGGGTAGGGGGATTCTTGGAAGGTTTCCAGGGCTCAGCATATCTATGGGGCATTGATGGAGGCATCATGGGCAAGTGCTTGGTGTCCCAGCTGTAACGATTTTCAACTCTGACCTTGGTGCCTGGATCTCTCAGATCTCAGTTTGTTCATCTGAAAAATGGGTGTCATGGAGTCAGAGAGATAGTACAGCAGGTAGGTTGTTTGCCTTACAAGAGACCTACCCAGGTTCGATCCCTGGCACCCCATATGGTCCCCCAAGCACTGCCAGGAGTAATTCCGGAGTTCCAAGACAGGAGTAACCCTGAGCACTGCCAGGTGTGACCCCTCCCAAAACAGGGATGCCATCGGAGCACCAGCGTAAAATTGAGGTAAAGATGAATTGGGGGGGAGCAAAGGGAGGAATCCAGGGCCAAGTATACAGTGAATGCTCAATAAGTGGACAGAGTTATTGTCATGTGCCCCGTCCTGCCCTGAGCCCTGGAGTCAAGGAAATTCTGTCATCAAGGAAGCTGCCATTCCTTTTTTCCCCCTTTATTTGTGGTCATGGGAACTGGAACCAAGAGCCTCACACATGCAAGGCAAATGTGGGTCTCTCATTGAGCCATCTGGCAGATGAAGAATCCCCCTTTTTCCATCTTTTTTGTGGAAACTCATTGTTCATGATGGATTAGAAGGTTATAATATCCCAGTACAGGTGTGCATTGAAGGGGAGTTAGGTAATCCCCCCTATTTTTTGCTTTAGGGCTACACCTGGCAATGCTTAGAGATCACTCCTGGCAGTGTTTGTGGGGATAATATGTGGTTCTGGGGATCAAATCAGGGTGACCTGCATATAAGGCAAGCACCTTAATTCCTGTAGTATCTTTCTGGCCTAGGTAATATTTTCGTGTTGTTATATTTGTGTTGCTGTTTTGACTTTTTTTTTGGGGGGGTGACACCCAGCCATGCTTACAGGTTACTCCTGGCTCTGCACTCAGCAATCATTTCTGGTTCTTGGGGGACCATATGGGATGATGTGGACTGAACTCCAGTTGGCCACGTGCAAGGCAAAGGCCTTACTCGTTGTACTTGCTTTGGCCCCATGTTGTTACATTTTAAATATATAACATATGTTATAGGTTATATTTTTTGGTTGTTTGCCTGGGGGTCGCTCTATAGAACTTAGGGGGTAACAATATGGGAGATGGTATCAGTATAATAGAAACTCAAGGCCTGGCACATATATGGAATACACTCTACCACCTGAGGCAGGTCCCAGCCCTCTCTGGGAATTTTTGTTTTTGTTTGGGTTTAGATTTTGGACCACATCCAGTACTCAGTGCTTACTCCTGGGTCCTACACTCAGGAATGGCTATTGGTAATACTCAGGAGACCAAATGAAATGCTGGGATCAAACCTGGGTCAGCTGCATGCAAAGCAAGTGCCCTACATGCTATAATATCTCT